CTGGATAATGTAGAGATTTCAAATAATTTACTAATATTTTATCAAATATTTTAGATAAGTGTAACACCTATACATATAAATTTATATAAATCTTGTATTCATATAAAAAATTTAATACATCATTTGAGATTCGTTATTATTTTTATATACGCCCTATAGATTCGTAGTTTTAAACCTTTTTTTTTGACATTTTCACCGAACTTCCCCCGTATGTAGTCGAGAGAAAGTCCTTCTCTCTTTCTCTCTCTCTCCCTCTTCTTTCGGCATTAATCAAAATGGACAACGGCAATTGCCTCGAAGGGTTATCAGGTCCTTTCCTCTCTCTCTCTCTCAATTTTCTAGATGTATGCACTTACTTATATATGTATATGCACACATGATTCAATTTCTAGATTGACTTTAGCTTATTTGCCTCTGCGGCGATTGAATAGGAAACGCAGCGGCTTCTCAGTGAACCAGGATATTCCTCTCTCTCTCTCTCTCTTCACACACACACACACACACACACACACATCTGTGCTTGAATTGTTAGACTTTGCTATTGTGGCAGCAGTTAAACTGTTCAAGTTATGCTTCCTTTTATGGGTAATGGAAGGACAATGAGAGATTCAGTAATTTTTGTATTTAGGATTTAGAAATGTAAAGTGCAAATTCTTCTCTTAGTAATAATAATTTTATTGTATACCGTTTGTAAAATGTAAATGCAGCTCCAGGAATCAGCGCTTCACCTTCAGAGAGATAACATGCGAATTTCAATGTGATGATACTTGGTCCAACACAATCTCCATACGAAGGTAATTCTTAGACGCGGAATGCTTTGTGCATCTGCCACCTTTTATATATATAATATTAATTAATTAATTGATAAGAAATTCTTTCTACGTAAATTAGAACTTTGTTTGATAACCCACTTTTTGGTGTAATGAAATTTGGATTTGTCTGCTATTCGCGGATGGATATAAGCTTTTCTGTGATTGTACATATCCATAACCTGTTTGCTATTAGTGGTTGCCTCAAGAATAAAAAATTATTGGGTAAATTACATTCACCTCTCTTAAGATTTGATGGACTTTGCAAATAACTCCATAATTTTGGAACAAAATTACACTGTATTCACCTAAATTTTATTTGTATGATAGATTGTCCAATTCTGTTAATAAGCCGTCAATAATGTAACGATTTGAGCTTATGTCGTGCTGCAAAATGTATTAAATGTCCACATTATCCTCCCTAACTCAAATACATATCATATGTATATACGTGTAACTCACATGCATACATATATCCCACTTATACATACATACAGAACTGCCCTCTCCTAGAAGTCATAGCAAACCTTAACTTTTTTTTTTCCCAACAAATTTATCAAGATAGAGAGGAAAGCAAAGGGCAACCCGATTGGTGGTTTTATTGCAGTACTGGGCTTGTGCTGATGAAGGAGGAGAGAGGTAGGGATGGTGACGTGCAGTGGTGGATGCAACACAAGCCCCAGAGAAATAGATTTAGAGAAATGGTGGGAGGGAAGGAGAGAGGAATAAAAATGGGCTAGGTGTAGTGGGACAAATTGTCGATGGTGATGGCAGTTGAGTTTGCAGATTGGACTCTTTCTCTCTATATATCTCTTTCTCAATATCTCTCTTATTGTTGAGGAGGTTGTTCATGGTGATTGAGTTGGAGTGTCGAGGAGCCTCACTTTGTCTTCTTGGTGGAATCGTAGTATGGGTTGCCCTTGAAGCATGAGACTTTTGATCGTGGGTCCCTACAAAGAGAATTGATATTGTACCGAGATGAGTCAAAGCTTTGAGACTTTGGTTGTTGTATGCTTTGGTAACAAATATTGTTCTTAAGAATAGTTGGGGGTTGTGTCAAGATGATGAATAAAAAATAAAATAAAATACAATATGTTTAGGTGGCTATACAGAAAGTTAGAGAGGGTCAAATTTGTTATTGAAAGGTTTTTTAGATAACTCGTATTCAGTCCAATAGGCCGACTAATCCGGAGACCAATCCCACTCATCCACTAGTGGGGTCACTAATTAAAGCTGAGGCAAAGTCCTGTACGACCCCAAGAAATTGTTTGCACCTAGGAGGTTTTGAACTTGAGACCTTGGAGGAGCATACTCCAAGCCCTAGGCCTTGACCCACCATGTCAACTCCTTGGGTTAGGTGATTAAATGATGTTAAACAAAAAGTGGTGATACAGAAGTGAGCTTGACTGCTGCGAAGATAGGGCGAGGAAGTGGAGACCATATAAAAGTTTCTAAGATGGGAAGTCTATGAAGCGTGTGATTATATTCTGTGGGGGCTGAGTTTCATTTAGTAATGAGGCCATTAGAGAATTGGGCGAATACAACTCGCCCTATCCGGAAGGCCATGCAGCAAAGTATACAAATCGGCCATGAGAAGAGTCGACTGGAAGCCAAACAATGGCCTGATGTAGGCCAAGCATGGGCCCATAAGCAGTATAAAAGGAGGAGCCTTGATCATGGACAAATATGTGAAAAATAGCAGATAACTATGGAAAATAAAACACAAGGACTAAAGGTACTAACTAGCTCATCGGAGGGCTAATTCTGGCACCCCTGTTTGAGCGTTGTTCCTCTTCAGATATCATTTCGAGGATCAGGAAGGTCTGTTGGATCAAAGAGCATTCCCAAACCTTTTTACCACCAATTGGCGCCGTCTGTGGAAAAATTCAAGTGCATTCATGGCAGACATAACAGTGATCTTTCGTTTCATTTGCTAACGATGGTACACCAAGCGATGATGTTACACCAAGAACTATGCTTGGTCCGGAGAATATCCCCGCACGAAAGGCCCTGAAGTTCGACCCAGTGGCTCAACCTCCCCTTCAACCTCAATGCAGGGAAACCATGCAGACAATTATGGATCAAGCAAAACAGAACGAACAACGTCTGGCAGATATGGTGGCTGACAATGAACGTTTACGTAAGGAATTGGCCCTTGAGTTAGCCAAATCCCAACAAATCGCACCACGTTATGACTAGGGTCGGTCGCCACAGAAGAAAGAAGGATGATCAACAGCATCGGCACCAGAAACATTGATAGTAGTAGTGCTTCCGACTCATTGTCTTAGGAACCTAGGAAGAAAGGGCAAGTTGACATGTCGAGCTCATCCGAGGGAAGTCTGTATGTTCGATACAGGCGAGGAAAAGGAGACAATAGTTCAGATGAAAAAGGATAAACACGATCATTCGTAGACACATTGCAAGGGCTGCATTACCTAAAAAATTTAAAGCGCCAACATTCACCCTGTATGACGGTAAATCTGACCTACAGATCACATTCGTCATTACAAACAAGCGATGACATTGCATGTTGATGATGAAGCACTCATGTGCCGAATGTTTCCGAGTAGCCTGGGACCATTGGCCGTCAGATGGATTATAAATTGCAGCCGGCCTCAATAAAAGTTTTCATCAGTTCCAAAAATCTTTCAGGGTAAGATTCATGCCAGCGAGGTCCAGACTAAGCAAGCCAGCTCTCTCTGGGCAATGCAAATGAAACCAGAAGAGACCCGCCATAAATATTCGGTGCGTTACTGGGAATGTTTCAACTTGGTGGACGACGCTGCAACTACTCCATGGCTATCACCGTATTTAAAAATGGGATTACACCCCGATTGTCCTCTCAGAAGCTCGCCGACCAGACAGCCTCCCAAAACAGTGTGGGCGTTAATAAAGAAGGTTGAGGAGTAGTGCAATGTGGAAGATGATGCCCTTCGTGTCAAGGCCAGACAAAAAGTCTTTAAGTCGGCACCATCTTGTCTGGTTCAGCCGATAAGAGCCGTACCACCAAGGAGCCCTAAATTGCGGGCCAGGCAAAACAAGACAATCGGCGGGATTCGTGCAGGCCAGCGAACAATCTTCGCGCCATTCGAACAAACAATATCAGGTAGAAAGCAAGAGCCCCAGACGTTCGAACAAGAAGTATACGGAATTGGTTAGAGCCGATCAGCAAGATCCTACCCAAAATCCAGCATCTGCCATTCTTTAAGTGGCCGTCCAAGATGATTACACAATCTAAAATATCTCAATCCAAGCGTGTTGTTGATAATACCTCACCAAGCGATCCAAGTGTCTCAACTCCAAAGTGATTCACTTGCACCCTCTTGAATTTATTTTGTGTATATTTTTCTACAGCCCTTAAAAATTCTGATGGCCAATTTTTGTATCAAATACATCTGATATATAACACAACATATGATAGAGTTTGCATGTAGGTGGGACCCCTAGGGATCTCATCTTTTAGTTATGGGGATAAATAAAAGATGTATCTTTTATCTTAAATATATAGGATACGACTTATCTATTTTTTCATTAATTATCTTTAAAAGATAATATAGAACTTCCACTAATTGCAATAATGTTTCATTAACACACTACAATTAAACCCCTAAAAGTAGAGAATTACAAATGAGGCCCTTCTTACAATTAATCACAAATTCCTCTCCATCAAACTATATTCCACATGGCCTACTAGGTATGGACAAATTTATCACTATCAAAAAACCCCAACTCATGAAACCGAATTCTAAAATTTTCCTTATTCTAAGTGGACCCCAAAAGCATTTTTCAAAAATAGTATTTTTTGTTAATTATATATGTATAAAAATATTTTGAAAAAGTTACTGGCCGGTTTTCTTTTGTCCAACGGTCAATAGGGAAAAATGCTTGAGTATATCTTTCTCAC